TAATACAGGTCTTTTTATTAACGTTAGTTTCAAATAAATTGGTCTGTTTTTTGATGTACAAACATTTTGATAGTAATTGTATCAAAATAATTACCGTTACAGAAATCGTCATATTAATCGATATCATTGTTTGTGCGTAACTGAATGTGTAACTGATCTTGGTCATACGTATGTTTATTTAACGGTTATGATTTTATTAGTAAAAACATTTTCCTTTTATTGCTAGTTGTTGATTTCTAATCAGAAAAGATTTCCAACGAGATAACTTGATATAGGGTGTTTCATTTTTCGTTCTAGAGATGGTGTAACTTTATGAAACTCACTTGATTTGAATCTTTCTTTTTTAAATACAACTGACAATTTAGTTTTATAACTACTGTTAAGTTAACCGAGTTTACAAAAAAAAAATTATTATTTCAAATTGAAATAACAATGGTAAAACTCCTTGAAAAACTTTCAAATGATTATCTTGAAATTCTTAATGAAGAAGATTTTAATGTAATTATAAATACGGAAGAATCTTCAAGGACATTTCGTGCACATTCAATTATTTTAAGATATAGGTCCTTATATTTTCATAATGAATTAGCAAAAGTTAGTAATGAAAATAATATTAAAACGATTAATTTAAAGCATGTTTCTGCTCAATATTTTGAAATCATTATTAGGTGAGTTGCATAACATTTTCTTATAACATTCTTGTAAACGCAAAGAACTAATCTTAGGTTACTAATTAATTCAAATAAAGATATATTTATGGAGGAGTGATTCCACTGGAAAACCAAGATACATCATTTATTTTTAACCTAATGCTTGTTGCGTCCGAACTTCTTTTTGATGAATTGGCCAAATATCTTGAAAATTATTTGATTGAAGTAAAATCTAATTGGCTTCGCTTACACTTTACCCATATTTTTCAATCGAGTTTCAAAAATAACCTCCAAAATTTACAAAACTGGTGTAACGATATTGCGGTAAAGCATCCTAATACGATTTTTAATTCTGAAGATTTCATATTACTTGAGGAAAATGCTTTGGTCTCTCTTATTAAACGGGATGATTTACAAATGGAAGAAATAAAAATTTGGAATTATGTAATTAAATGGGGAATTGCCCAAAATCCAAGTTTACAATCTAGTGGAACCGAAAATTGGACTAGTGAAAATTTTCTAACTTTAAAGAATACGATACGAAATTGTTTACCTCATATTCGATATTTCCAAATCTCTGGCGATGACTTTGTTGATAATATTGAACCGTTTCAAACAATACTTCCGAGGGATCTTTGGAAGGACTTATTAAAAAGGGCCGTGAATCCAAACCGACCAATATTATCAATTATACACCCTCCTCGTATAGTTTTGATACCTCAATTGCCATCACGAGCAACAGAACCATTTTCAGCTGTTATTAGTGATGAACATGCTGCGGAAATTGCGTCATGGGTTGATAATAAAACTAACACGTACTCAGTAATAGACAATCCATATGAGTTTAAGTTACTTCTTCGCGGAACAAGAAATGGATTTACTAAAAAATCATTTTGGAGATTGTGTGATAAGAAGGCAAATACTATTGTCGTCATGAAAGTTAAAAATACGGGAGAAATTCTTGGTGGATATAATCCTATGACATGGGATAAATCCATTAATAATTGGATATATTGTAATGGTAGCTTTATTTTTTCTTTGAAAAATGGTACCATTCAATATTCTGTTTTAAGTCGCGTAGAAGAACCCGAGTATGCAATTTTTTGTAATTCTAGTTGTGGCCCATTGTTTGGTGATGGTTCTGATCTTCAGATGGGAAATATTTTTGACCAAACCAATGATTGTCATTGTAAACATTTCTCTTATGAAAAGCCCATTAGGAATACTAGTGGGAAATCATATTTTTCAGTGTCTGAATATGAAGTGTTTCAAATCAAAAGAAAGGCCTAAGACAATTTATTTGGTGTTTTTTTACAAACTCTTTTTTTTATACTACATTAGAGTATGTTTATTCGTAGATAGTGTTACAGTGTAATATACATCTTTCTCGTCATTTGCGCGTCTCTTGCCCATACCTGATACCATAATGATGATTCAGTATACCCACAATTTTATTTATGTTGTTATTTATGTCGTCATTATGTCGGGACTTTGGGAACAAACTTTTCCAATATTATGAAAAACTCTAATATTTTACTATTTTAATATGTACTTTTTTTATAAAAATAATATACTATATTTTTAGAGTCACTAAATTGTAGTAAATAGTTTAATTACAAATTATACAGCGATTTTTTTAATATACTGTATATTGTACACTTTAATTGCTATTAATAAAATTTGTATAAAAAACCTTAAAATAATATAAAAGTTTATATATAAGATATAGATGCGTATTTTACAGTACGTACAGTACGGGACAGTAAAAAGACATCTAATCTATGTATATCTGTATATAGAGCCAATTTTGGTGTTTATATAATCAATTTTGATTGGTTAATTTTGTATAATTGGTTAATTAAATATATATATATATTTTATATTAAACGCCAATTTTTTGGACTCATATAAACTTTATAACTTTTTTAAAACAAAAAAATTAAAAAAAATCCACTGACAGAAATGTAGTTTAGCTAAAAATCTATCAATTTGTCAGAGGGATTTTTGATTTAGCTTGTTTTAAAAAAGTTATAACACTTTAAAGTTTTTATTAATAAATATTTGGTTGCGTGTTGCTGTACAATTGTTAAAAATCTGATTTTTAAATATGTCGTATCTATGATTATATATATTATATGGGCTTGGTGCTGAGAAAAATAATATTCACAAAAAATTAATTATCTCGTGAACTATTGACCAGAATTATATAATTTGGTACAATTAGATCCATCTCAATAAAAGGCATCTAGTGCTAGTGGTACCAAGATCATATAAATTTTTTGTAAATATTTTCTCAGCATCAAGCCCATATACAGTTACTAAATTTTGAACAAAATCATATTCAAAATTAAAAAAATCCCCATACTTCTTGTTTCAAAAAATTATACTGTATTGAAAATCTACTTAAGCTACAATTTGAACATGAACTTCAAATAAATTTGATTAGATACGTATATACTGTATCGAGTAAATATATACGTATATATACTGCATATATAGTAAAAATTGACATTGTATTATTGTTAAGTATTAATTTTTAATTTTTTGTAGTATTCATAATTTAGTAATTGAATTAACTATTTTGACAAATTATTTGCTCAAATCGGTTTAAATTACATTGTTTATGCTCATGAAACAAAATGATACTGAGAATTTTTTTTTTTTTGATTATAGTTTTAAATTTATTTCTTGCCCATTTCAAGTACTTATCTTTCTTTAGTGAAGTTAAAACTTCTTAAATGATTGACATGAGTCATCGTATAATTTACAAAAAAGAAAAAGAACGGGTTCATTAAATTAATTATTAAAAAACACATTAAGCTGCATTTTAAATTTAAACCAGTAACGTAATTATTTGTAGGTTCGTGCCTGTGGTTTCGCGGTTTACGGATAGATATTGGACAACATTAATTATATAAACTTGGTAAATACAGTACAATCTAACCCTTAAAATCACAACATCAAAATCGATAAGACTTTTAAAGAATGTGCTTATAATGACTGTATTTATATAGAATTTTAAGTTTATATGATTAGTAACTGGTTTTAAAAGCGGCGTGCATATGTTTAAGTGGGATATTTATATAAAATCTACACTCTAACCTTAAAATCCCAAGAAATTCCCACTTACAACACAGATGAAGAGAATTTTTATACGTGTTTTATAAAAAGGATAACTGGTTGTGCCCACCAAAATAATGCTATAAATGAACATGTAATCCATAAATGAACACGTAATTAAAAATAGATAACTAATAGATTATGTTAATGTTAATATATTAATATATAATAAGAAATTCACAAGTTATAACTTTGGACCAAAATTTCGTTAATACGTACTAATGTATTAAATATAGTTACATAAATATGTGATTATAAAAATTATATCATTTTAATCTTTACTTGAAATTACATGAAGTCATGAAAGTGTTGACACCAAATCGATAGATACTGGTATGATGTATGATATACTTTATTAATTAAATTATCGTTTCCCCGAATCATAATAGGAGTAAATGAATTCAGACGTTTGAATAGCTTAGTAAAATTTTTACCTCATGATCACTATCAACTTGATCATCTAATTCATTCAAGCACAAATTTCCATCATCGTAAACATTGATCATCATCAGTATAATTGGAAGATAATTATTAAAGCAACTGTGCTCAAAACCAAACTCGCTAGATCAATCGTATTATCGTGGATTGTATGGAAAAATGAAATTTGAAAGTATTTAAAAAATGGTCATAAGATTGGAAAGAACATTTAAATTGATTTATAAATTGTTTTTGAGATCAATAATCTAAAAAAAAATTTATCAGATTTCGAACAATTAGAATAATCCAACATTAGGCGATATTAACCGACGAAAAGACGGCGCAGGAAATAGAGCAAAAATAGATGCACCTACTCATGATTATATAAAAATAATTTAAGAAAACAAGGTAAGGGTTGATCCCTTTATTTATACCATACTGTACTGTAAATCATTTTGATATAAAAAAAAAAAAATCAGAATACAATCAAATTACTGTATCAAATTAATCATCAAATTAACAAGACGAAAATTTAAAAGCCCTATTTAAAGCCCATTCAAATTTACCATTTGAACGTTGCGGTAACATCCGTTAGAATTCTAGAAATATGGTAAAGGTACTAAACATAATATTTAGCACAGGAAATCTTTCATCCTTTGGCAAAAATCCGCAACAAATTCCTAAACCTCACCCTTTACATTTCCCTTTACATTCTTTACATTTAATATTCAATCTTGTAAAAAGATCAACGTATTGTTTCTACAGTGTAAAATTAACCCATCTCATTCATCTTCTCACTCATACGTATAGATGTTACTTTGATTCATGAACATCAGTACTTTCATAACTCCAATCATAGTCCTTAAAATAATAATCAATATCACCCAAGTCTAAGTCTGAATAATCATCCGATATATCCGAATCGGTATCTTCGTCTTGGGAACAGTTGCACTGAGGAGGTACCATAGAACACGAAGGTGTTGGTGGTTCGTTTACCACAGAAAAGAATACGAATGCTGCGGCAGCGAGTAAAAGTGTTGCTGAGAGAAAACTCATTGTCTTATTTTGTCCCTTCCTTAAGTAAGACAAAAAAAAAAATGAAAATAAAGAAACCGAAAAAAACCGTGTCGTCTGGACTGCTTGATTTATTAATTTTTGATTCTTGATGAGTTTGACCTTAAAAAAGGATCAATAGTTAGCATAGGATAATTACACGAATATTAGTAAGAATAAAAAAAAAAAAAAAACGGTTACTAACTCCTAATTAGAATTTGTTCCAGGTCGGAAAAAAAGTAAAACGAGTGAGAGTTGTTTTTTTTCGGAATAAATAATGAAACCTAACGGCGATCATTAAATTATATGTGGTATTTATGAGAATCGAGCTATCATAAGTTCTTGAATCATTTGTCGAATCAATACGAATTTAGAAATTATTAATGTGTTTTACATAATTTTTGACGTAGCCCTTTTTTTCCGAAGTCAGACAAACAATTACTTTGATGGGCCTGGCACAAAAATTTTAAAAGTTTACGTTTACCAATTACATGTCGATATACGGTACATACTCTTTAAAATGTGATCAATTCATTTCCTTTAACAGATTTACCTTGCAGGTAGCCTTTTCGAATATTTTTAACCGTAATACTGTAATATGGATTTATCAGTTATTACTCACGCACATATGTATGTACTTAAGTACAATGACGAATAAGATATCTATATACTTACGCACATACTCACGTACTGCGTACAGTAAGCAAAAATTATAAATTACATGTGAAGGTAACGAGAATGAAAAATGAATTAACCAAAGAAAGAATCTATTTATTTTAATTTGGCAGTTTATTTTTGATCTACTTATAGTACGCGACTAGTTATATTAGCATAGATTGTTCATATAGCCTGATTAGCATGAAGAAACAAGAGTGTATACTTGGTCATCTGGTTTATGCGCAGGTAACTTGGTTAAATCATATGATTTCTCCTATAATCGCGCCTGTTAACTTTAATACCTTTTATATTTGTCGCTCCCAAAGACAATTTTACGTGTCGCCTAACCTTTGGGATCATCTTTTCATTGCCATTACGTAATCGTTTATCGCTTAACAATAATTAACAATGATGTCAATGAATGATACTCCAGATTTTCGTAATAATAACTTATTTATATTGGTTCAATTTTCCATTTTTAATATAAAATTTAATATTGGAAATGAAAGTCTTTACTATTTATATATTTTGAGATTTCCTTGACGCAGCTGCATGTCCCTCTTTAGCAAATACAAATTTTAATGAAAAAAAATAAATGTTCATAATACTTTAAATCACTGCCTTTGCCGCTAATCTTCATGTGAAATAATATTCTTGTTCTTATCCTTGTTACTCTCTTCTATAATACTCATATATTCAGCCAAATCCGTCCAATAATCACCTTCGTTTCCTTCGTCTCGTGTGGAATTATCACTTTCGTCTCGTGTGGAATTATTTCCATACTGGTCGTCAAAATCATCTCTGCATTCTTCATTTTCATTTGAACGAGTTTTTTTTTGAAAAGGTGATGTTAAATTCTCTACGATAATATTAAAAAATATGCCGAGAGAAAAGACTGTTACTGCTGCGATTGCCCAAGCCCCCATTGTTTATATCACAATCGCAAAAATGTCAAAGATTTTTGTGATCTAGAATTTAAATGATCAAAATTTCCAAAATTTTAACGTTTAAATGGATTATTTATACGTAATCCAAAAAAAAAAAAAGTTTATTAAATTAATATTTATCAAGCTAATTCTCTAAAGGTCGGGTCACTACTGATGAACCAATCAAATTTATCAAACAAAAGGTCTAGCCCTCAATTTCTTTTTTAATAGGCGTTCGAATCTTTGTGTAAAAAAATTTATCACTGTTTATTTCTAATAACCGGTTTTAATTTTTACCAAACTTATTACCACCTATTCAAATACGTATGATAAAAATTTTGTTTAATCCTATAAAGATATGGTCGATAAGTCAAGTTTAATTTGGTGATTATATTGTAAAAGTAATTAGTTTTACTATTTTTTTTAACTAGATTACAGGTTCAAGGGCTGTTTCTGGAATTTTCTTAATTGCTTTTTGTAGTTTTTTTTTTTTTTAAAAAAAAAAAGAATTTTTAGTATTAAACTTTAAACTATTTATCGTATTTATTGTAAAAATTTATTTTGTGCATTTGATAAATATTTATTATAAAGCATATCTATAATAGTTTGCTATTTATTATATGTTTTTGTTTTTTAGTTTTTGTTTTTATAGGTTTTGTATATAAAGTTTTTATTGCAAATTTTTTTATATTAGTGTTAGAATTAGAGTATTTTATAGGTTTGGTATTTAAAATTTTTATTGCAAAATGTTTTATATTAGGTTATAATTGTATTATTTTATAGATTTTGTATATAAAATTTTTATAGTAAAATTTTTATATTAGGGTTAAAATTAGAGTAGATTTTTTATAGTTTTGTTTATTTATTAAATTTTTTTAATTTGGGTTTAATCTTGTTAAGGTTTTGGTTTGTTTGTTTTGTTTTGTTTTTTTAACTTAAAAAATGATTTTATATTTTTTTTTATTCGTATACTTGTTTATATTTTGAATTTTAAAAATTTTTATAAAAGCTATTTTATAATATATTTATTGCTATTTTAAATAGTTTTTTATTTTTTGTTTGGATTAAGTGTTTTTTAAATTTATCTGAATTAGTCTTATTATAATTTTGTATATTGTTATTGTTAAATATTTTTAGTTAGTTTTTTGTTTACTTTTTTTTTAAATTTTTTTAAAAATTTTTATATTATATTTATTGTTAAAATATTTATATTTAAGTAGCTCTTATTATAAACTTTGTAAAAAGTTAGATAGTTTAATTTTTTGTTATATAAAAAATATTAGTTTTTATATAGATCTAATTATCTTATAGTTAACAACTTTAATACTAGAAGCTTATTATTTATACTATAATTCAAAGTAGTATAATTAATATTATTATCTAAATATTAGAGTTTTTATTCTAATTTTGAAGTAATATAATCAGAATTTTTATTATTTAATTTTAATAAAAATATTAGTAATATTATATTTAAACTAAAAAAATTAATATCTGTTCTTAATAAATATTGTATATAAATATAATATTTTAAAATTAAAAGATATTTCAAATTTATTTTTATTCTTAAAGAAATATATAGAGCTTTCAATTTATATTTTAATTTTTTTTTAATATTAAGATAAAGGCATGCTTCTGATTTTTATTAATATATACTTATAGATAAATTTTTTATATATATATTACTACAGAATTACAAAAACTTAAACTAATTTATCTACAATTTAAATCTACTAGAGTAGTCTATACCCTATATATATATCATCTAGCTTTACTTTTTAATCTAGAAGCTAGGTACTAATATCTGCAAAATCAAGAATAAACTGAAACTGCAAAAAAGTGATCATAAAATAATCTTTTGGCAAAGATGCTAGAAAAGTTTTTTTTTAAACCTATTATAAAACACCTTGTAGGACATATATACAGGCAATATCAAACATCTTTTTCCAAACCATGTTTATTCTACACAAAATAAATTAAAAGGAAGTCTTTAAGAAATACTTTAATGAGAACTTTTCTAAATACATGTTGAACCTAAGTGAAAATAATTTTACTAACAAATTTCACAAAGAATAATACTATCAAGTATGTAATAACCTTACTTAAATATATATATTTTGTATTTATTTTTTTTGTTTCTTTTGTATTCTTTTCGCTAATTTAATTATTTTATTTTTGTTTGTTTTTTTTACTTATTTCTTTGTTAATATATTAACTTTTTTATTTATTTATTTATTTTAATAACTTTTACAAAAAGTTAAAAACTATTATGAAGCAGCATTGCAAAACATCTGTTCTGTAATTTAGAAAATATTTGGTCATGAAAGACTGTCTCCTCTGAAAAGCTCTGCTAGTACTGCTAAAATAATCTAATAGGAGGATAGCTTGCAAGTTCATGATTGCTATCACGCTCTTTTTGAGCAGAATAATGTATCACAAGATATGTCTTTAGCATGGTTGCTATTCCAGTTCTAATCAACTATCACTATGCTTTTATATTGGCAGTATGTGATATTTTACTAAACCTTTGATTTAAAACAGTTCTGTGCAAGAAAAAGTATATAAAGCATTATATAGATAAATACTTAGTAAGGATTTGTTGCATATTATTTGAGTGCGTGAGAATAAAAACCTGGAACTGATTATAATGATTTACTATGATCAGTTACAGGTTTTCATTC